TAGTGATGTGTGAAAACGTCGGAAGCCGTCACCGATGCATAGGCCCAGTTGGGTGGGACACTTGGGTCAATAAAAACTGGTTTCTAACCCCTCCTATGCTCCATACCAGACATCTTTTTTGTCTTCTTCGGCCTGCTTCTATTGGTGGAATGCTCTCAGGGAAATGGCGTTCATGAAGTTTGTTTACGAAATGGGGAGCAATTGTTGTCTGGGGGGGGGGGGGGGGGGGGATCCTTGCTGATAGATAAGGGATGTGAGGATTTCTTCCCTAAATTTGAGGAAAGTAGCGGGTCTGTCTGTGGATTTGGTGTAGGTGATATAAATATTACAAATGCCCGGATGAAGATTAATTGAAACTTTTTTTTTTATACCAGAAATGGGACCTTGTTGTAGATAAATAGGGCTGTAGCATCTGATAGCATCTTAACAAGAACAACGCATTAACTCCTGCTGCTGTCACTGGGTAAATGCTCCTATCTCCTATCTCCACTCTTAACAAGAACAACGCATTAACTCCTGCTGCTTTCACTGGGTAAATGCTTTTATCTCCTATCTCCACTCTTAACTAGAACAACGCATTGATTCCTGTTAATTGCGGAACAAATAGTGTATATATATTTTTGTATATGTTGACTAGCTCTCACCTCCTAGTTGCACTCGTTTTATGACTGTAATCTGGTCTGTTTGAGAAACATCCCCCCCTATTTATGTGATCCTTATCAGTTTCTAATTGGGGCGGAGATGAGTGCTTATTTGATCATCTCCCTATAAATTTAGAACAGCCCATGGGGGGAGATTACTGAAGGGGGGGCAAGTCACTGATGGGGTGCTGCTTTTGCGTAAGTGCTGCGTTGATGGAGTGCTAAAAAGCAGTTAAACACAGCAGTTGAGCTAAAGCAGGATAACTCAAGCAGCAGGAAGATACAACAACAACAAGAAACTTTACTGCATGCTGGACAGACTGCAAGCAAACACGCTGGGAAAAATCTCTTACAAGTCTGAGTCCCACTCCGTGTACCTTTTAATATGTCCCCTCTACTCCTCCTTTTCATATTATTTTCCTGCGTTTCCAAAATCTCACTTCTTTATCCCTCTGATCCACCCCAAAACTTGTACATCTCACCCTCACTGCTACCATCTCCCTACTAATGCTCTCATCACCTCCTGCTGACACTTCACTCTCCAGCTGACCCAAACACCAGGACTGGAAGGCATGTGCACTCGTGTACATCCCGCTCCCATGTTACTTTCCTCACCCTTCTTCTTCTAACCTCTGGGAATATATCCCCAAACCCTGGTCCTCCACTATCTCACCCCTACACCAGGCATCCTCTTTCTTCCGGGAATAGCCGCAATCCCCTCAATTTAATATCGGTCCCCGTGCTCCAAAAAACACCCTCCCTTTTTCATGTGCACTCTGGAATGCCCACTCTGTCTGTAATAAGCTCACCTCTGTCCATGACCTTTTTGTCACCCGCTCCCTTAACCTACTAGCAATTTCAGAAACCTGGCTCCAAGCAGACAATTCTGCTTCTCCCGCATCAATTTCCTATGGAGGCCTCATCTGGACCCACTCACCAAGACCCAGTGGTCGGAAAGGTGGTGGGGTTGGTTTGCTTCCGTTCCTCTCTCTGATCATAATCTCATCAACTTCACAGTCTCCGTGTCTTCAAACACTTATCCCTCCAAGCAGCAAACAATTACCCGCAGAAACCTTCACAACTTAAACCCTGCTCCTTTCCACTCTGCAGACCAACTCTATGACAGAATCTCTCCCCTGTCCTGCCCTGACCTGGCCACTGCTGTCTATAACAGTTCGCTTTCATCCGCATTAGACTTACTTGCTCCTCTAACAACATGAAGTATCAGGCCCCGATCGTTACAACTTTGGCAGACTGACGACACCAGAAATCTTAAACGACATAGTTGTGCGCTGGAGCGATTGTGGCGTAAAACCAAATCTCAACAAGCATTCACCCTATATAAATCTGCTTTCTGAACATACAATTCCTCCCTTCATGCTGCCAAACAAGCCTACTTTGTCACTCTTATTAATACCTTGTCATCCAGTCCTCGTCGTCTCTTCTTTACTTTTAACTCTCTACTTTCTCCACCTCCACCCAGTACCTCACTCACTGCTCACGAGATTGCAAATCATTTCAAAAACAAGATTGACGCAATTCGTAGGGGCATCGCCACTGCACAGACATCCATCCCACTTAGCATACCTTATACTAAACCTCCCTCAAAACTTTCCTCTTTTGACCTTGCTACTACCGAAGAGGTTACTAAGGTTTTCTCAGAAGCCCATCTAACTACCTGCCCCCTGGATCCTGTCCCCTCACAACTACTACGGTCACCCTCTTTTTCCATCCTATGCTCCCTCACTCACATATTCAATCTTTCCCTCTCTACTGGTGCCTTCCCCTGTCATACTTAAAAAGCCCTCCCTGGACCCCACCAACCTAAACAACTTAAGACCCATCTCCCTGCTGCCGTTTACCTCTAAACTCCTAGAACGTTTAGTCTACAATCGCCTGAGTTCCCACCTCACCGACAACAACATTCTTGACCCTTTACAGTCTGGCTTTCGCTCACTACACTCCACTGAAACTGCCCTACTAAAACTCATTAATGATCTACTAACTGCTAAAACCAATGGCCACTACTCCATACTCTTACTACTTGACCTCTCTGTGGCTTTTGATACGGTTGAACATCTCCTCCTCCCTTGGCCTCAGGGACTCTGCTCTGTCCTCGTTCTCCTCCTACCTATCGCAGCGCTCCTTCAGTGATACCTATAACGCTGCTGCCTCCTCCTCTTCACTCTCTCTTTCTGTAGGGGTCCCTCAAGGTTCTGTCCTTGGACTCTTCTCCATCTACACCTCCTCCCTTGGTCACTTGATAAACTCCCATGGCTTTAAGTACCATCTCTATGCTGATGACACACAAATATATCTTTCTACCCCTCACCTCACCCCTTCAGTCTCCACTCGCATTACTAACCTACTAAGGGACATATCGGCATGATGTCACTCCACTTCCTCAAACTCAATCTTTCCAAAACTGAGCTCTTAGTATTCCCTTCAGCCCATGCCCCCTCCCCTGACTTCTCCATCAAGATCAATAACACAATCATCAATCCCTCCCCTCATGCCAGGGTACTAGGTGTAATCCTAGACTCTCATCTGTCCTTTCAGCCCCAAATCCAATCACTGTCCAAATCTTGTAGACTTCACCCCCGCAACATCTCCAAGATACGCCTGTTCCTAAGCTCGGAAACCACTAAGCAACTTATTCACTCCCTTGTTATATCTTGCCTTGACTATTGTAACTCCCTCCTCATTGGCCTACCTCATCGCAGGCTATCCCCTCTTCAGTCTATCATGAATGCTGCTGCCAGACTCATCCACCTTACTAACCATTCTGTATCTGCCACCCCTCTCTGCCAATCCCTCCACTGGCATCCTGTTGCCCAACGGATAAAATTCAAATTTATATTGTAAAGCGCTGAGCAAACTGTTGGCGCTATATAAATCCTATATAATAATAATTAATCAACCCTCCCCATCCAATTATAATTTTGGATGGGACTGTGTCTTCCAGAAATTTCCACCGAGGTGTCATTGTGGATGGTGGACAGGACATAAACATATCTCTTATCCTTACACTTCACAGCAAGCAGTTTGTTGTTTATTAGACTTGCTAATTCCCCCCTTTATAGCCTGGTGTTCACTAAACTTTATGGGAAGCCCTTCCTGGTTTTTCAGGAGTTACCAAAGACCAAAGTTTTCTCATGGTACAGGTGGCAGAAAAGGGGAAGACTGGGATAGATAATTGTCTAGGTAGATATGTTAACCTTTTTGGAAAAGTGTAAAAGCCAATTGACCACTGGGGTGTATGGCGCTGCTGGTGGCTGCTTGGCAATCATAGCACCTTATCTTTTTAGGAGAGACCCTTTCCTCTTCCGATTCAGTCACTGATTCACAACTTTTCAATGGGTTCATACCCTGAATCTCCTGCTCACTAGTGTAATTGCTTTTTGTTACATGGCTGGCTCTGGTGGCAGTGGGCCAGGTAGACTGCTGATGGTGGCTGTAGGATGGGTACACTGCTGATGGTGGGTGTGTGAACGGTACTCTGCTTATGGTGGCTTTGTTATGGGTACACTGTTGATGGTAGCACTGATGGGCAATGTGCGACAGGTGCACTGCTGATGGACACTGATGGGCGACAGTAACACTGTTGATGGGCAACAGGTGCACTGATGGATGACAGTAACACTGCTGATGGGTGACAGGTACACTGATGGGTAACAGTAACACTGCTGTTGGGCACTGTGACAGTGGTACTGTGTTGTGTTTAGGTACTGTACAGTTTAGATCAGCAATTCACTGTTAGAATATTCCTCTCCTAACACAGGATCTGTGTGTGAGGAGAGGAAGCCAGTAACAGCGAGTTAGCAGTCTGTGTTTACATTTGTGATCAGTTGTGATTGGATACATTTGATCATGTGGTAAATAAATGCTGACATTTGTTCTTCACCTTGATCGGTGGGGCGCACATGCTCGGCTAGAGTGGGAGGATGTGATAAGATTGCCTCCCAGAACAAGACAGCTCCTGCCTGTCCATCATTTCACAATACAGTGGGTGGGAGCCAGTTGAATTAGTATCAGTTTTAGTTAGTACCAGTGTCAGTGTGCTTTAGGTAGGATAAGAAAAGCAAAATGTGCACTATTGTTTCTGGGATGTACTATGGGTACAAACAACAGTTAACATACACATATGTGGAAACTCTGTGATCATCTGGAGCAAGAGAATGTATTTTGGGTAGTTCTATGGTGGTAGGTCATAGTAGTAGCAAGAAATATACAGCTAAATTTAAAAAATTATTCCTTTTATTACATTGCTCAAAATAATTAAAGGAACACTTTGAAAACACATCAGATCTCAATGGGGAAAAATATCATGCTAGATATCCAGGGGCGAACTGACAACTCATGGGGCCCCCGGGCAATAGGGGATCATGGGGCTCCTGTGTCCTTGCCCAAACTCAAAAAAGCCTATGAAAAAGGTACCAGGGGCATCTCATGGGGCCCCCTACTGACCTCGGGTCCTCGGGCAGTGCCTGAGTTTCCAAATGGTCAGTCCGCCCCTGTAGATATCTATACTGATATGGACTGGGTAATGTGTTAGGAACGTCAGGATGCCCCATAGTTTGATGGAAATTAAAATTATCAACCTACAGAGGACTGAATTCAAAGACACCCTGAAAAATCAAAGTGAAAAAAGTATGCAGGCTAGTCCATTTTGCTAAAATTTAATTGCAGCAACTCAAAATAGTATACAGTAGTTTGTATAGCCCCCATGTTCTTGTATGCATACCTGACAACTTTGGGGCATGCTCCTAATGAGACGGCTGATGACGTCCTGGGATATTTCCTCCCAGATCTGGACCGGGGCATCACTGAGCTCCTGGACAGTCTGTGGTGCAACCTGGTGGTGTCAGATGCACCAAAGTATGATATCCCAGAGGTATTCTAGTGGATTTAGGTCAGGCAAGCATGGGGGCCATTCAATGGTGTCAATTACTTCATCCTCCAGAAACTGCCTGCATACTCTCACCACATGAGGCCGGGCATTGCACCAGGAGGAACCCAGGACTCACTACATCAGCGTAGGGTCTGACAATGGGTCCAAGGATTTCATCCCGAAACCTAATGGCAGTGAGGGTGCCATTGTCTAGCTTGTAGAGGTCTGCGCATCCCTCCATGGATATGCATCCCCAGACCATCACTGACCCACCACCAAAATGGTCATACTGAATGATGTTACAGGCAGCATAACGTTCTCTAAGGCTTCTCCATATTCTTTCACATCTGTCACATGTGCTCAGGGTGAACCTGCTCTCATCTGTGAAAAGCAAAGGGCACCAATGGCGGACCTGCCAATTTTGGTGTTCAATGGGAAATGCCAATCACTCTTTATGGTGCCGGGCAGTGAGCACAGGGCCCACTAGAGGACATAAGGCCCTCAGGCCACCCTCATGAAGTCTGTTTCTGATTGTTTGGTCAGAGACATTCACACCAGTGGCCTGCTGGAGGTAATTTTGTAGGGTTCAGGCAGTGCTCATCCTGTTCCTCCTTGCACAAAGGAGCAGATACCAGTCCTGCTAATGGGTTAAGGACCTTCTACAACCCTGCCCAGCTATCTTAGAATTACTGCCTGTCTCCTGGAATCTCCTCCATGCTCTTGAGACTGTGCTGGGAGATACAGCAAACCTTCTGGCAAAGGCATGTATTGATGTGCTATCCTGGAGGAGTTGGACTGTCTGTGCAATCTCTGTAAGGTCTAGGTAGCGCCTCATGCTACCAGTAGTGACATTGACCTTAGCCAAATGCAAAATTAGTGAAAAACAGCCAGAAAAGATGAGTAGAGGAAAAAATGTCAGTGGCCTTCACCTGTAAAACCATTTATGTTTTGGGGATCATCTCATTGTTGCCCATCTAGTGCACCTGTTGCTAATTACATTAACACCAAAGCAGCTGAAACTGTTTAACAACCCCTTCTGCTACTTAACTGACCAGATCAATATTCCAGGAGTAAAATTGACTTGATGCTATGCTGTGATTAAAAAGTGTTCCTTTATTTTTTTGATATTAAAAGAAATCAGGAGATATCCATTAGCATTTACCACAAAATGAAAGCCCAATTTGTCCTGAAAAAGAAAGGTGTAATCAACCTGGATGCACAAAGTAGTTGTGATGATATGTACGGTTTTACTAACACATGCTAAAGTTGCTAAATTGTGCTTAGGCATTAACATTTGGTTTACCTTTAGGTGCGAAAGGGGTTAATATTCCAAAATTTAAAAATGACATGAAGCTCTGCAATGACAGCCTCTCTATGACTGTCATGAAAGCTTTTTTTTTTTTGTAATAGAAAGTTTATTGAACACAGCCTGATACATCAATACATGTTATGCGCTCAGCAGACAGAGTAGACATTGAATTAAAACAGATACTGACATGCATTGAAGTCATAATGAAAAGAAGAATACAGTATGTTTCTGGTATATAAATAGTACAAAGTGTACAATAAAACTAATGCAATTAAACTAAGAAAAAAATAGTTACCGTGCTGTGATAAAAGGTTGACTGTAATAAACAATATTTTCCAATAAAGACAGGTTTACTTTTTCATGACAGGTTTACTATAAAATTCTCATGCCAATGTGTAATGTTAAGGAGTAGTAAAGCAACATGGAGCACTGGAAGAACCTCAAAGGGATGTCAAAATCAGGAAAGTTGGTAGCTGCTCTGCTACACATTTATTCACTAAACTTTGTGGGCACATAATTTAGTTTGGGGAGGCACTGCATTTTAATGTCTCCCTTTGACACTTGCCTTAGTACCCCATCAACTGCCCCCACCCAAATATACTTCAATATCTCTGTATTCTCCATCAAATTTAATTTATCATTTGCTTAGAGTCTGTGCACACTGGGGTGTTCAGGGAAAGATTCATTTTGAAATAAATACCAAGTCCCCTGCAATTAAGAGTATAGTATATTTTTAAGTACACTTTCTTACACATGAATAGACAGAAAAAGTCAGCAGAGTTTCACTTCATTCACTAAGATAAGGGAAATCCCCTGCAAATTGAACAGACTATTTGCATTGAAGTGGTTATAAACCTCTAATATGAAAAAAGAACAAAGCATATCCCTCTATAGTGTGTAATTGCCTAAATCCACAGCATTGAGTGTCATTTCTTTATGTTCTCTGGCACCTCTGCTATCTCCATGAGTCATTGTTAATACACCACAACCTCCTTCCAACACCACAACCTCCACGGTGAGGCCCCCCTTCCAATGCACAGCACGAGGCTCAGACCCTCAGCTCTGTATGTTCTCCTATGAGACTGTGAACGGGGGTTGTCCCTTCCCTCAACACAGCTCTCAGATTACAGGGAACTCTGTGATCTAGCTCTGAAGTGTATAATGTTAGATCCCTGCCCCCTACTTTCTGCTGCTGAGAAAAAATCATTTGATATCAGTACTATGAACTAATGTAGAGGAGAGAGGGCTGCAGATAAACATGTACAAATTATGTAGGGGAATTTGTTTAAACACTGTGTATTACTTGAGGCTAGACATTTTGCTGGGTCTATGTAAGGGTTTACAACCATGTTAAGTAAATAAACCCCATTGTAAGAAATAAAATGATTCTTACTCCTGCCTCCAACCCCCACCCCTATCTCATTAATTCCCATTAATACCATCAACATTAACTACACCCCAACCATCAATAGCTCCAATCCTTCACTTTTATCACATTCTTTTCTTGTTCCACCATTACTTTCCATCCCCCTGTCATCAGCTTCCTGCCCCTTGATCAGGCCTTGCTTGCTCCTCCTAAAAAATATGCACAACCACACATAACATACGCAAGAATAAAACTCTAATTTTTAGAAATTGTGAATGGGTATAGGTGTCCATGAACATTAAAAGCAATAGTCACTGAAAGGGTTATCATTATGCACAGTAGATCTTTGCTTATAGATAGCAGAAAAAAAGTAAGAGCTTTTTGTACAGTTATTTACCACATAGTTGTTTTTCCTAACATCAGTAAAAATACAGTAATCCTATATAGGCTTATTTATTATTACCATTTATATGTTGTTTATTTATTTACTGCAGGTTTTGTGAGTAACTATACAGATACATAGTAAAAAAAGGAACTTGTGTTGTTGACTTACAGTTGCAAAAAAGTCTCATGTTTATTGCAAATCATCTAATGTTGTACCATTGGAACTGTTTGAGGCATACAAACATTTGGCAAAAATTTATATGTTGTAATCTGTATTTGCACTCTCAACTTAAACAAAATCATTAACACACTATATTGTATTTTGATGCATGTACTTTGCACTGGGAATGAAAAATGAATGAAAAATTGGAAAATGTACTTGCACAAGTTATGTTTGTGCACGGTTTGCACTATACGTTAGCTTACGTCTGATTTACCAGAATTTGTTGGAGTTTGCATTATTTTTCTAGGATTCCCTGATTATGCCCCAAAAAGGGAGAGATGCATTTGAGGAGTTCTCTGCAGGTGGAAAACAGGAGCTGAAGCCACCTTTTACCGATCTCACTGAAAATGTTTTTGTTGCTATAGTCTTAAGTAGAGATGAGCGAATTATTCAAAAATTCGATTCGGCTGATTCGCCGAATTTGTGGAATAAATTTGATTCGATGCGAATTTATTCGCTGCGAATTTAACTTATAAAAAGGGTTTCTAGGCTTCAGAGAGCCTTTAGAAGAAGAAGAAGAAGAAGAAGAAGAAGTAGGATGAGGATGAAGAAGAAGTAGGATGAGGATGAAGAAGAAGAAGAAGTAGGATGAGGATGAAGAAGAAGAAGAAGAAGTAGGATGAGGGATGAATAAGACGAAGAAGAAGTAGGATGAGGATGAAGAAGAAGAAGAAGAAGAAAGGATAGGATGAGGATGAAGAAGTAGGATGAGGATGAAGAAGAAGAAGAAGAAGTAGGATGAGGATGAAGAAGAAGAAGAAGAAGTAGGATGAGGATGAAGAAGAAGAAGAAGACAAAGAAGAAGTAGGATGAGGATGAAGAAGAAGAAGAAGAAGTAGGATGAGGATGAAGAAGAAGAAGAAGAAGTAGGATGAGGATGAAGAAGAAGAAGAAGAAGTAGGATGAGGATGAAGAAGAAAGAAGAAGAAGTAGGATGAGGATGAAGAAGAAGAAGAAGAAGAAGAAGTAGGATGAGGATGAAGAAGGAAGAATAAGAAGTAGGATGAGGATGAAGAAGAAGAAGAAGTAGGATGAGGATGAAGAAGAAGAAGAAGAAGAAGAAGTAGAATGAGGATGAAGAAGAAGAAGAAGAAGAAGAAGTAGAATGAGGATGAAGAAGAAGAAGTAGGATGAGGATGAAGAAGAAGAAGAAGAAGTAGGATGAGGATGAAGAAGAAGAAGAAGAAGAAGAGTAGGATGAGGATGAAGAAGAAGAAAGAAGAAGAAGAAGAAGAAGAAGTAGGATGAGGATGAAGAAGA